GGGGGGGGTTCAAGATGGTGGAATAGAGAAGATTGCTTTCCTGACTATGAAACCAAGAAAGCAAACAGGCAGCTTCTCAGTGAGGTGGGTAAACAACAACAACAACAAAAAGGAGAGCTTTACTGGAATTAAATACTGGACATTCAAACCAGATTGGGGATAATAATTGGCTATAATAAAATAAGGAAGAAATCCACAGTACCCCACAGCCACAGCTGTGACTGGAGGCACCATCTGGGGCATGCCCTCCATGAACAAAGTGGAAGGATAAGGGAATTAAAGAAACCCACATTTTTAGGAGGACTGAGGCATGTCCAGGTACACACAGTTTAGAGATCAAAGAGACTGCCTGACTAAACCTAAAGGTGTGCTACACAATATCTTCATACAGGAAGGAAACTGCATCTCTCCTGGCTGTGTGTGGACAGAGGAAAAAAAAAAAACATTTGCAGCTAAAGAACTGAAGCTGGCAGCTGGGGAAGCCAATTCCTGGCAAACCTAAATATGGCCTGAAAAACAGTCCTGGCAAACTCACATTGCACAACATAGAGTGTGCCTAAGTGACTAGAAGAAAATCAAACGTGGAGAGAGGTTCACACATGGGACAACAGGTCATAGAAACCCACATGGCTCTCCCCCTCCTCCTCCATCCAGGTTGCTTGCAGAACCAGCTGGGGAAAGAAACATCTGGCCAGGAATTCGAAAGAGTGGGGGCGGGAGAGATTGAGTTTGGAGACTGTACCCAACCCAAGAAACAGGTTTGCAGGTGATGTAGTAGACTAAGAATTGGCTCCTTGACTACATGAGTAGAACCCAAGAGAGATCCTTGGAATACAGTCTTTCAGTGTGGATCAGCATGTACTGGGCCCTGGAGGGAACTGATTTAAAATCTCCAGACCAACTGGCATTTAGCAAAGAACCTGCATCCACCTAAGACTAAACCCTGCCTACATGAGTTCCACCTACAGGATTACCTCCCTCTCTTTGGCAACCCCACCAAACAGTGCTGAGAAGGGAAACTGAGAATATTTTTAATTCCAACCGACACAATTCTTTAACTTTTCATTGAGGTTCTTTTTATTGCTTTCCTCTGTTTAATTGTGACCTTAATGGTTCATGGACATTTATACATATTCATATTTGTTTTTTTCTCATTTCTAGCATTTTTGAAACTAGTTATTTTTCATGGATCAGTATTTTGAGGACTACAATGTTTGATTAGTATATTTCAGTTTTGTTTTGTATTTTTTTAATTTTCATTTTTTAAAAATTTACATTACACACACACACACACACACCTCTTAAATTTCCCTTGATTCTCTTTCTCTTCTGCTTATAGCCAAACTCTATTATTCTCTTTTTCATTCTTCCCTTAATTTTACTCCTATCTTCTCATCTCCTCTCTACTAATCATCCTACATCACTTCTTTTTTGGGAGTGGGGTACCAGGGATTGAACTCATGGGCACTCAACCACTGAGCCACATCCTCATGCCTATTTTGTATTTTTATTTAGAGACAGGGTCTCACTGATTTGCTTAGCAATCGCTTTGCCTGAGGCTGGTTTTGAACTCATGATCCTTCTGCCTTAGCCTCCTGAGCTGCTGGGATTACAGGGGTGCACACTATGCCCAACCCTATATCACTTCTGTTCTTTCAGTCCACCATTTTAAATTGTAAACCCTTTTCAAACTTACTGTTTTTTCTGTGGGCAATAACTGATTATATCATTTCTGTTTATTGTGAAAATTATCATTGTAAATGTCTTAGCAGGAGCTATTTGTTTTAAAGCTGTATGTTTGCATTGGTGGTTGTTATTATTTATCTCTCCATAAAGAGTGAGATACAGGAAAGCCTCAGGGACACTACAAGTCCACAGGATAGAAATTCTACTGCCTCAGATCCATACTGTTAGATGGGTATATACACAAACAACATGAAAAAGCAACTGAACAATTTGCCCCCAAACAAACCAAGATACTTCAATAACAGAATCCATCAATATCACTGTGAAGAAATGTCATTGAAGGAATTTAGCATGTACAAAATTAAACTGATCTGTGAGGTAAAGGATGGTGTAAGGAGTGAAGTCAGAGAGAAAATACATGAAGTGAAAAATCACTTCAATAAAAAGAGATTCTGAAAAAAAATCAAGCAGAAGTCCTGAAAATGAAGGGTTCAATAAACCAAATTAAAAATTTAACAGAAAGTATCACCAACAGACTAGACCATTTGAAAGATAGGCAATG